AAGTTATCATGAAATTGATTTATTATTGCTTGTCATTTTTATTATAATGTCACCTTAATTTCTATATATTATATTAAAAAATTATTATATCGTGTCCACGCCGCACCCGTCCTATATTTTTAAAAATCGTCGTGTCTCGTGTCTGTGTCGTGTCGTGTCCGTGTCGCCATGTCTGTGTCGATGCATCATAGATGCCTTCTCAACATCGACGACCAATGCCCTCACAACATCGACAATAAATTCCCTCTTAACATTGACGCTCAATATATACTGCATAACATCAATGCCCGACTCTCGACATTATTGTCAACTCCTCCTCGATGACTAATAAACGGCATCGACACCCGACTCTCGACATCCTAATATTAATCATTTTAAGCACAAATTCTAATTAAATGACTTGCTGTTTCTAAATATTTTTTTAAAGTTATACTTATTTAATTTTTATACACTATTTTTAAAATATAAAAATTATAATACCGTGTCCTATATTTTCAATAATTGACGTGTCCCGTGTCCTTGTCGTGTCGTATCCGTGTCGCCATGTCCGTGTCTGTGCATCATAGACAGTAGTAAAGTAAATTGCCCATATATTGGAAAATTCACCCTTCACTAAGTTGAAGATTGTTGATGTGCTAACTGTTGGTTCTATCAGTGAATCGACATCAATCTAACAAACTCTGCAAGTAATTTCATTAACTAAAGGAGCAAACCAAGAAAACTATATTAATCACAGCACCAGTTAACAATACCTCAATAGCAAACCCTTTGGATGCCTGCACAGGATGATCACTATAGAGCTCTCCCTGTGGCAAAGACTGAGAGCCATACACTGAAAGCAGCCTCTTAGCTAAAGTGTTCACTCGAACAGGGCTTACAACAGAATTCGTTGCTGATACAGAGGATGTCGCTTGGAGACTTGATAGAGATGCCTCAGTCTGTATTGGAAAAAGAGGCTGTGCTGGAATAGGAGGATGAACTTGAGACGTATGTCCATGATCTGGTATGGATGTACCCATCACATGGTTGGCAACGGGAAAAAGAGGCTGTGGTGGAATAGGGGGATATGCTTGAGAAGTATGTCCTTGCTCAGGCTTGGACGTACCCATCACATGGTTTATGTACGCCGCTGCAGGTGTATCGCCTGCTTGTTTACTAGTGTGAGGGCCCAATTGCTCCACAGCAGGATAAGTCGGTAGATCCAAGGGTTTTTGAATTTTACCTGGAATTGGACGCCAGTCGTCCAAGCAATTTCTCATCATCTCTCCCTTCTGTTTATAAAACTCAGATTTGCTTTCCATGTGATTTTGAGTGGCATACTCTTGGCCATAAGTAGCCGTGAGATGATCTTCGGTATGAGGGTGTGAAGGTTGCTTTGGCAAAAGAGGATAGCAGCTCGGCATAGGATGAGCCTGCTGCTGATCATGGAAGTTTCCAACTCGTAAAGAGCTGTAATCATTCGTAGAATAAGGAGTCTGCTGCTGATCATTGAAGTTTCCAACTCGTGAAGTGTTATCATCATTAGTGGAATAAGAGCCCGGCCTCCACGAATCCTTTCGAAAATACTCCCCTGGCACAACTGATGCAAAGTTTTGTGAAGCGCCCAAAGCATCATCAGATCCACCAAACCGAGGTGCCTGCAAATTTCTATCTAGCTGAGCACTTGGCCGGTACGAGTAGTCGCCCCCAATTTGTGAATCAAACGGCCCTCTTCTATCAGACCCAAACTCCATCCGTTCAAAATCCCTCCTATCTTCCCTATCCAAGTTATAGATCGGCTGAGACGGGTAAGCTTCGTAACCCTTAGCATGGTGGAAACGACCATCCCGAGGGTAAATCTCAGATTCCGATAACCCATGATTAATTCCACTACTACCGAAATGCTTCTGCAAGACATCCTGACCATCCCCATCCATGCGGTAATCGCTATTATTATTCCAATGACTTACATTATGCACTTGCGTGGTACCTTCCCTCCCATGATCGCGAATCAGATTCAGCCTCCGCTCATCATCCACCGAAAAAGCACGATTTAAAGGTTGGAAGGGAGGGAAAACTCCGACCTCCGCATCTTCCACCCGCATCCTCTTCCGGAAACTCTCCCGATCAACCACCTCTCCATGGATAAAAAGTGGTTGGTGAGACGGCGGCCCTAAAAACGCCGTTCCACTCGATGGGGATGGTATGTAGAAGGGTCGGTCAAAGAGCGGTGGACGGAAATCGGAGGATCGGAAGCGGAAGTTATCGGCGGCGAAGGCGGGAGGCGAAGGGCAGAAGGGGTAGTGGGGAATAGAGCAGGCTGGGCAGAGTTGGCGGTCATCGGGGATCGGCCGGAAACGCCAATAATCGTCCATGGGAATCAAGATCTAGGGTTTAGGTCGCGATGGTCCGGTGGTGGTACGTCGAAGCTGCTTCCGTCGTTGAAGACGATCGATCCAGTAGCGGCTGGGCTTTTATCGTGTTTAATGGGGGCCTGAAGCTCGCTAACTAGTTCGATTGGGCTTGGTTGCTAGGTTGTTTGGTTCAAGCTTCAAACTAGCATTTCATATATATGAATTTTTTTTTTTTTAGAAATCTAATAAATAATTTTTTTTTAGAAGTCTGATAAATAATTTTCTTTCCATTTTTTTTTTTTAGTTCGATTGGGCTTGGTTGCTTGGTTGTTTGGTAACTAATAATTTTTAATAAATTAAAGGTCATTTATGATCATATTTTCTTTCCATTTTTTTTTTTAATTTGATATTATTGGATTCAAATTTAAAAATGGTGACAGCCGATCTTACTAGCATACAAATTATGTAAGGGATAACCTAAATCTACGTGAAAATTGAGAAAAAATAGTTGATGGGAATATTTATTAAGAAAATGCTCAAGAATTTCAAAATCTCACTTAGTCAAAACAATGCAAAAAAAAATTCAAGGGCAACAAGATTTGTTACATTAAAAAAAAAAAGAATAAAAAAATACATTGACTTAAATGACTCAGTAAAGTTTGATCTAGATATGTGTCGCGCTCATGACAGGCTGAAGGGGTCAGTGATTAATGGCCTTTAATGGTCAAGCTTTGAGGTGAGTTTAGTGCCAAGTAGAGTTAGGCAAAGAGGCTTAGGTGCGTCCATCGGCAAGCACTGAGAAGATGGGGTCCTATAACTAGTAGGTTTGTTGATGCTGACGATTTGTTTTGAAGGCCTCATATTACCTTAAGAAGAGAGAGAGGTGAGTGATTAGTCATTGTGGGAAAGGAATGATCCAGTTAAGATGGTTATGGTAAGATGAGCTGAGGGTTCCATGAGTAGGTGTTTTCTTATAATTGAGCTTTGTGTGCATAAATGAGAGTACCCACTCTGCATGATATCTCATAATCATGGTAATTATGTCTTGCTGGACAGGTGTCGAGTAGCTTACTTGATGAGAAGCTTAAACAACAGCCTCAACAAGGGACGAAGTCTCTCAATAATCCCCGACAAGTAGCACACTTTAATCATTTAGGTGTGTTTTCCTACACATTCCAAGTGAGTAGTGTAATGACCGCTTATGCAATAGTTAAACTAAGTGTAGTAACTTGATTTGAAACTTGGTAGGAAATTTCATATTTATTTAGTAATTACAAAAATTGTAATTCCAAATTTCTCCCTTAGGGCACTAGTACATTGTAATATTAGAGTTGTGGTGTTGAGTGCCAAAAGATAGCGGTGGCGCTTTAGTGTCATGCCTCAATATCTAGTTTAAAAATAATTATATCTTTTATCTTCTAATAATAACAATAAAAATCATCTAATTTCTTTCAATAATAAAATACGTTAGAATTAAATCTATTGATCAAAACATTAATATACATATAAGTTCATTACCCAAAAATCATATATACTATCTATGAGTCATACAAATACAACATACTATTTGCCAACTTTTGAGCTCAAAAGAATAACTAAAAGACAAAATAACAGTGAAACATGAAAAATCTTATATATGATCAACCTCACACCCTCGAACCTCTTTTCTGACCTAAAATTATCAAACCACATATATTGAGATTATAAAGCCCAATAGATCACTAGAATCCTACTACTGAAATCAAAACATGAAAAAACAATATTATACATGAAATCATTCATATCATAACATTAACAATCAATATGATCATGAATTTGTGCAAGTGCAAAAATAATAAAATACATGCAATAACAACAAATCTTATAAGAGAATGCAATACAAATATCCAAAATTGTAAGATTGTAAACCATCATTCTTAAATCAAACATCATAGCAGTACCAATCAAACAATAAGGAAATCGTACAAATCAGTAATGATGAAGTATCTATGAAAACTATAAAAAATCTATGGCAATGCAGTATTATCAAGGAATCGTATAAGGGTACACATGATGTTCAGTTGTTATGTATTAATTTAAAGTAAGTATTTTAATCATATTCAATAACAATGATTTGATATTTTCCAGTAAGTATTTTTAGTTCTATATTCATTGTTCTATATTCAGGCAACTTCAAATAATCAGAGTCGTCATTTTTGCCCGTCGGCACAGTAATCACTCACCATAGTAATCATTCGTTATAACTCTCAATTAGTAAATCACATGAATCGGTAAATAATATCACTACAAACTATAGTATTTAAAAGAAATTTCGTCGTCCCACCAACTTGTAAATGTATAAATCAGTCTCCAGTCACCTCAACAATAAAATCAATTATTCTTGTTTTTATTCACATAATATTGCAAAAGTTATAACAACCAGCTATTACTCATTCGCATGCTCGTATTCATTTACAATACTTGCATTAACAATATAATCGTATCAAAATACAAAAAAATTATTATACATCTAATTCATATTCAAATCATATAAAATTCAACAATTAATATATTAATCGATGAAAATATGAAAGCATTTAGTCATAACGATCAAAATATTCAGTATTATAATAAATCAAAAGTTATGCGGTGGAAGTTCATTAAATAAGGAAAAAATGCAATAAATACCAATTTAAATAGAGGAATAAATCCGAGAATTAATTTTTTTTAAAACATAAATAGGATATAAGTCATCTACATTGATCATAATATATCATTGAATCAGTGAAAAGAATTGTTGACTAAAAACTCACTTATTCGCTGATCTCTCCCCTTCCCTTCTCCCCCTTCTTCCCTCCCTTTCATGGAAAGCAAAACGAGAGACGACAAACTAGGTTGAGTGGAGAGAAAATCTATATTAAAAAAACATTTTTAGTGCCTACAATGGTGATGCCCCAACCCGACGCCACAATGTTGCATGCTCATTTTATAAAGCATTGGCACCGCCTTGTCGAATTATGGCGCCCAAGGTTGTGAAAACTAGACTGGACAACAAACCAAAAGAAAGAGAGGTTCACAGTTCATAGCCGGATAACGTAATAAATAATGCTATTATTGAAATTAATACAATTAACATAATAATGATGTTATCATTCTAAATATGAGATAAAAAATTAAACGAAATAAAAAAAAACTATGAAAAATAAAACTTACATAATTAATTAAAATAATTATTTTTAAAATCTCACATAAGAGCATAAGTTTTCCAAATCTCATAATTCTAAGAATTTAGACTAAAAATAATTTAATGATTTAAAATTTAAATATTTTTTTCAATTTTTAATCTAAATTTAATTTTCATATAACCTTATCATTTAATATAAATTATTACTATTTTATATTAAATATTTATTATAAACTTAATTCAAATATAAGTTTATGAATTTAATATACCCATTGCCATAATATTTTTAGTGGCCTTAAGAAAGTGGCAGTCTCACCTAAGTTTTTATTTAATTATTTAAAGAATATGATAATTGAACCAGCCAGCTCAAAAGAATCAGAACTGATTCACTGATTTGTTGGTTAAACTGGCGATTCTGACCAGTTCAGCCTGATTTTATGCAAAAGTGATTGTCAGAGTGGACCGAACCGACGTAGTGACCAGTTCATGATTGAACCCATAAGATCAGCCAGTCTGGTTTGATTTTCAAATCTTGATTGCGCTTCAGCATTGCACCCTAGAACAGTGGCGCTCAAAATCACAATCACGGTTATAAAAATCGGACCTAACGAAAAGCTAGAAGAATAAGAGGTTCACGATTCGATCGGTTCGATTGGTCGATCTGGGGTTGAACCATATGACATAACAAATAATAATATTATATAAAAACTAATAAAATTAGCTTCACCTCCACAACCTTTCAATATCTTATGACTCTTATGAATTTCATTGAAACTTATTAGTTATTACTTATTACCTTCACTCAAAATTTCATTTTTCTATCAAACTCTTCATACCACCTAAATGTTTCTAAAATAATCTCTTTGCCTTTCTTATAATTTGCTTGAATTTAAGAAACAATTTTGTATCAAAATTTTTGAATGATTGACCATCACTATTTTGATATTCATTAAGCATATGTGATAAATCAAATAGAATAGTACTATAACACAACAAAATTGTATTGAACTCCATATCAGCCTATAAGATTGATTTGAATCAATTATAACATAGTATTATATTAAGTGGGTATCGATTAAGCCTATAAAATATAAACAAATAACATATAACACAAATGTGACGTCAATTAAGTCTTTAAAATATAAACAAATATTTCACAAATAACTTAAGCAGGATTTATAACTAACCTAATAAATTGAGAGTAATTGTAACAGCAACAGTACCACCAAAAGACACACCTTGCAGCTCCAGGTTCCCACACGAGGTGGTCTGGTTATCTCGTAGCTCCCGATTCTTGACCAAACGACATTGCATTGAGGGAGGAATGCATACCTATTATTGAGTATCTATTATGTGTTGGGTGTTAAGGAATACATATCATCTCCAATTATCTTTCTCTAACATGTGAAATTGTCAAAAATAAAATGAACAACAAATAAATAAATATTAATTAAATGCTATGTCGTATAAGTAACATCTGAATAATGCTCATTCAAACAGACATAATTATTTATATATTAATCTAGGAAAAATATAGTTATATGTTTAGTGATTCCAACAAGAACTACCTATCTACACATTATCTTTCAAATTCAAGATGCTATGTAGCACACTAAGTAGAGAAGGGAAAACTTATAAGGGGTTGAGCGAAGAGGCACATAAAGCATACCTTATATCTTATGCAACTGTTCGATGGAGAAAACAAGCCCCATGGAGAGGAATGAAATCGCGGACGGCTCGGGACGAAGAGCCTGAAGATGAAGGAAGGCACGAATCGCGTTTTGGGAGGGAATTTTGATGTGCTTTTCACCTTTTAGGGCACTATGTTAAAATTTTCAATCGTTTGATGTCCATCAGATAGTTGTTGTCCAAGCAAAATAAGAATCAGACAGTTCTTCTAAAATGCGCCAGTTCAAAGGTTTTTCGGTTCAACTAGGAAAAATCAGTTTTTCTCTGGTTTTTGTATTAAAAGGTTATAATGAAGGAACTAGATCGGCCATCAGACCAGTCACTGATTGAACTGGCCAGTCCGATAGGATTTTTAAAATCTTCATCACAATATTGTAGTGCCATTGTTCAAAAATTTTAGATTTTTCAAATAAATCAACTTAAGAACTCTGGGTTGTTACAACTAGTTAAGGGCACTGTGGCACTAAGTTCTCTGTTTGTAACTCAAAAAAATTTGAGTGCTCGACCCTAACATCCTCGAAGTTGTCAACTACTCCACCTTGTGCCATTATTATTCTCGTGATGCATGTTGAGAGTACAATAAATATTGCAAGGCTTAGTTTTAATTTATAATTGCTGAAAATAATGACTCACTCCAACAATATAAAAATCCTAACGAGAGACTACAAAAAATCTTAATTAAGAGTTAACATAAAAATTTATAATAGAGTCTATAAAAGCTTTTAATGGAGACTGGTCATTAATATTAATACATACTCAAAAAATTATCTTGACCGAGCACGAATCTCAAAAAAAATTCAAGCTCGAAACTTTCAAAATTAAATTTGGGATCATTTGAACTCCGATTTAAGCAAGCTTACAATCAAACTAAAGGTCTCGAGAATATGAACCCATCGACACCAAGTTCGACTCAATCCGAGCCCAAACGGGTCCAAATCAAGGGCTCGAAGAACCTTTGGGAGGTTCAAACAATAAATTTGATTACTAAACGGTTTCCAAACGTGACATTCTTATAGTCGAATCAAGTGGTTCGATGAGCCAAATCTAATGAGCTCAAGATCATAAAATTCTGACATCATTAAGACTTTCAAATGTCTAGTGAATGGTCCACAATCAAGGGATTTAACACCGACCGTCCATCGAAACCACTCCCCATTTACCTTTGATCTTCCTCCTATTTACGGGTCATGCCACCCTAGAAAATTTATAAATAGACCCCTCCTTTCACTTGAAAAGGGGCCCTAAGCCTAAGAGAGCAATAGAGAGATTAAAGATCGCTCTTTTCCCTTAGTTTATGTTCGACTACCATCTGAGGCCCAGATTTTTGTCGGACCACCACATGGGGCCCGGACTTATGCCGGACCACCACCTGGGGCCCCGAAGTTCCGTCAGACCATCACCTAATGCAAGAGTTCCACCAGACCACTGCTTGACGTCAGAGCTCTATCTAACCACCGCCCGACTCTGAATTTCTGCCAACCACCACAAAACTACCAACTAATGCCTGAATTTCTCAATAAGGTCGGACTTCCGTCAAACCACCATGTGACACCGAACTTTCATCCCCGTTTGTCTTTTGATTTCAACCATACGATTAATATTTGTAATCTGATCGTCCCCAGGGAAGAGTTAGCCCACTGTAATCTACCCAAACACTATTGGAATCATTTCAACTGAGCAATACCACGTGGTTTTTCCCCTTTCCAAGGCTTTCCACATAAAAACTCTTGTGTTCTTTGTATGTGAGCTAGATATCCATACAATGCTAAGACACAATATTATAACTTTATTGTCGTATATATTCTAGCCCGCAACAAATATCAACAATAAATTTTTTTAAAGCTAAACCTATATAATCTCCATATATAAAGCATCCCATAATCACAAATAAATAAAGAAGAAAATTACATAAGAAGATGGAAGATAGAAGCCCTCCTAACAAATTAAAAAGAAAGAAAAACCACCACCAACATCTTATTCTGCATTTCTAACTCTCATCTTCAAAGCATGTAATTGTGTGTTTTTTTTTCCAGTAATTCATACAAATAAAGTGGCATTTTGTATGTATTTCATATGACATGCATTTTTTGTATGCGTCTCCTCTAAAGTTTAATGGACTTCACTGAACCTCATTGAACCACATAAATTTGGAGAAATTATTCTGTGCAGAGGCTGAACGCAGCTCTACATCCATAGGCAAATCAGGTGCAGCCACGTCAGTGATACCGAGCCGCGGTACACACCGAAGAGGTGTCGTGGGGCATTCTAGTTGATCTCTGGACGATGTTCGACATCCGCACAGAATAATTTTTCGTAAATTGGGTATCTTATGTTTGGCATATTCGATTTGATTATTCTCTGGCACTCATTTCAGTTGTTATCCACCAAAACAAGCTGGTGGCTATGCTCTCACATCTCCCTATCTGGAGAAATTATTCTATGCGGAGGTTGCACGCAGAATGTCATCCGGAGACCAACCATAATGCGCCATGTCAGCGGTACCGAGCTGTACCGAACCACGATACCAAATGAATAGGTGACGTAGCATATTCTGATTGATCTCTAAATAACATTTGATGTCCTCACAAAATAATTAATATCATATCTGAGACAAAACTTCGGAAAACTCATGACTGTGTCAATTGAGAATTTTGAGAGTACTTATTTAATTATCATCCGATGATAGAGAGATTAGGAGTGTCATGCAGATATCAGTATTCCAACACCTCATTGATTTAGCACCTATTAATACTCCTGTTTCACTTGATCATCAGATAATCACATAGCTCTAAATGACGTACAAACATGGATTACTCTTTTTTTTTATATAATTTTATCATTCATGAAATCAACAGGAAAAACTTGAGCGGCAGAAATTACTTTCACACAAAAAAAGGTAAATTGTTCCCACTTGGAAAGCCCGCGGGACAAAGTTCTCGTCGTTACCAGTTACCACTGAATAAGAGGGAACTTTTCGTCATTTCACGCTCTGCGTACAGCAGTAGAAGCCACAGAAACTGCAGCACAAGAAGACCACAGATGCTCCCCCTCCCCTTATAGCCCCTTCGAGCCATCCCCAACCCCGAGGAAGCGGGGAGAGGTAGGACAGATACATAGAGAGAGAAAGAAGCCTTCTTGTTGAAATCTGTGGAAGCCACACTGTTTAATCACTTGCAAAGCTTGGATTTGTTATACACTTATACTCTGTTTGTCGCTCAAAACTATTCTTCTCCTGAGCGAGCGAGGGATGGGATTGGGTTCTTCCTTAAAAGAGGGATTTTGTCATGCCTCTGTAATCATGGCTACAAGCTTCTTCCGCCATAAGATGTGAAAATGAATAGAAGGGAAGAAGAAGAAGAAGAAGAAGCCATGGCTTTCTGAGCTCGTCTCGGTTTGAGAGCTTTTGAAGGAGAAAAAAAGGGATCTTTACACCTTTTGGTGGAGCTTAATCTAGAAAAGTTGAAGAGAGTCGAGATGTCGGGGAGAAGAATTCACGGTGGTTCAAATGTTGCTGTTTTGCTGCAGAAAGAAGGGGTGTCCCCTGAGACCATTGAGGCCTTGCTTGGTACGAGCTCTGGTGGATTCCAAGGTAAAGCGTTCATCTTTTCTTTCGGGGGAAAATTGAGCTTCTATGATTGTTGTTTTCTTCAAAATTCGTCTCCTTGAATGAGCTTTTTGTTAGCTTTCTAATACGTAAGGTTGAAGACAGTGAAGTTTTTTTTTTTCTAAGTTTTATCTGAGTTAATCTCAGTGATTTCTGCTAAATTCGTCTTCTTTTTCTAATTTGTGAGTTCCTCTTCACAACTAATTCTGCTTTATGGTTCAGCAAGTTCTTTCCTGATCCTTGATTGATGATTCCAGCCGTTGTTATACAGATTTTTTTTAAAGGAGAAGCACTGAAGCGAAAATTATTAGAAATTAGTAGCTTAATGATTTCAAGCGTGAGCTGGTGGTGAGGAACAAAAGCTTTTAATTACTAAGCCACGCCTCGTTTCTCATAAAGATAAAATTTTGCATCAGGCTGTGTTCCCATAAGCATTCTTAATTTGAATATGTCTTATGTTCTTCAATTTGATGGATGATTTTGATTGATTCGACTTGCATATGGTAAACAGTTGCTCTTATTGCAATCTGTCTCTGATCAAATTCCCCATGAGAAAAATTCAAGACATAGAACCACAAGAAGGTGATTACTGTTAGCTTCTTGTCTCGCTAGCTATTTTTGAGGATTTGAGCTCATGTAGCTTGGATCTTCAAAATCCGAGCTCTAGAGAGAGATAAATATAATTAGGATACTCACATACTTGACAGCCTATAATCTACCTGAGGACTCTTCCTTAGCATCCATAATTAGACTCATTCTACTACTTTCTTGCATTCATCCATAACTTGAGTTTTCCTTTCTTATCTATATCTAGAGTAATCTAATAGTTGAGATCTAATGAATCGTTTGCCACCGCTTTCTCACTGCTTCTTAAAGCAACTTTTTAGTATATAAATTAAAATTTTTGTATTAAGAAATTGTTTTTAGAAGCAATAATAAAGTCGTCCCAAACGAAGCCTTAGACTCAAATATTCATCATTTTTCAAAAATTATTTTATGTGATTGTAGAACCATGTTTAAGGCCTGATTCTTTTATCAACAAGTATGCTGACTCGAAAAAATTTTACCTGCAAGCTTTTAGTTGTGATGTGAACCTTTTATGGTTCTGCTTTCTTTCTGGCCTAAAGGTTCTTCCTTGATAATATATGATGATTGTTTCAGCTTCAGGTGCCATGGTGAATTTTGAAGACGTTTGTACAAACGCAGCCAACCAGGCCTACTACCGTCAGCTAGACATGGAACAGGTTGGTGATGAAGAACTAGAGGAGTACCTCCATCAACCAGAGAAGAAAAGGCGGCTTGCTGTGGAACAAGTAAAATTTTTAGAGAAAATATTTGAGCTCGATAACAAGCTTGATCCAGAACGAAAAATCCAGCTCGCAAAGGAGCTTGGCCTGCAGCCAAGGCAGGTTGCAATATGGTTTCAGAACCGCCGCGCCCGGTGGAAGACTAAGCAGTTAGAGAAGGATTATGAGGCTCTGAAAGCAAACTACAATTCTCTCAAAGCTGATTATGAAAGTCTCCTCAAGGAGAAAGAGAAGTTGCAATCTGAGGTATAAAAAATTCATCACTAAGCCTTTATTCCATAATGCATTTTCTTGTTTGTTAATCTATATTTGGGCTTATGTTCTCCCTTGCAAACTAAATCCAAATTGGTTTGCAGGGTGAGAAGTTGGCTTAGGACATTCTGAACTGATTTTAACTAGTTCATTTCTTTGTTAAGGCTCACTTGATTGCTTGTAAATAGAAACATATTTTAGAAAATAATGATTTTGTTTTCATTCTTTTTGAGTGTGAAAATGAAAATTTGATGAAGATTTGTGATGTTTAAAATCACTATAAGTGCATAACTCCATCAAATTTAATGATGAATTTAACAAATTTCATCATGTTAAAATATTATTTAAGAAACGAAATGAGCCCGTGGTTCCAAGACAATTTTCTTTTGGTAAAGATTGAATCTTTGTTGTTTTGTAAAAAAAAATAGCTGTTTACAAGTTACAACTACCTTGATTGTAATCTTGTAAAAGAGAAATGGATGTCTTGAAACTTGTCAAAATACCCATGGCTAAGAGCAAAAAAAGTCTTGAACTTTGTTTTTATTTTTGTTTGGATTGAAGAAAAACAAGAAAAGTTGATCAAGTAGAAACAATGATTCTTATGCTTCATTTGGGACGGCTTTCTTTCTGCTTCTTAAAGCAATTTTTTTTGAACTAAAAAGCTGCTTTAAAAAACAGAAAGAAAGCCGTCCCAAACGAAGACTTATTCATTTGCAAATATGCCAAACATGCATCTCTTTTATCATTCCTTCATTGGTTTCCAGTGCAAACATATATGCATAGTGGTTTAATGTTAGACAATACAATAATAAGTCTCTCCAACTTTACTCGCATAGGCAACTCATCTGACAAACAAGCTTCTCCTCAAAGAGAGCATGAAAGATTCTATGAAACTCCAAGAATGGGCACCTCCATTACCAAAACCAGAGATAGATTTAGCATTCAAAACCGCGAACTGCGACATATCACCAATGTTAAGATTAAAACAAGAAGATCTGAGCTCAGTCAATAGCGTCGTCATCGACTCTGAAAGCCCTCATTGCGCCGAACAAGTCGGCCGGTCTACACTTTTGGAACCTGCAGTTTCTTCCAATGTTTTGGAACCAGATCAATCTGATATCTCGCACACTGGGGAAGATGAAGAGGTTAAAGATTGCCATTTTCTAAAGCTTGAAGATAGTTCAAATGACTATGGATTTCCAGCAGATGATCATGCTTTCTTGTTCTGGCCATATTGAAGAGAACTATTGTGTGATTATATGTATGATTCTGTATTATGTAATGCTTTTCTATGTTATGGTGTGAGGAATATTTAGTGTCCATAAAAGCCATTCAGGCTTCTACAAAGTTCCAAAATGTAGAGTTTGTTTGAGGTTGGTCTTTGTAGTTTGTTATGCTTTTCAACTTTAAGTGGTGCAGAAAGGTTTTGAGCTGCTTCTAATGTTTAAATAAGAAATAATGGTTTATTTCAGTTTGATTTAGGATTTGTTTGCGCTGTTTTTTTACTGTTTGATATTTGAGATCTCAATTATAATTTCATTTTGCTATTACTTTCTCGTTGCTTTCTTGCTGTTCTTTTTAATTTTTGTGGTGTTTTTATAACCAAAATTGTTAATGTATTGTGAAGTTTAAGATGAATATCTTTTTTGGCATGGTTAAAAATAGTGGATAAGGTATTAGAATGCATTCCAAATTTCCTATCGTTACGTTCTTTCCAAGTATAATAGACCACATCTCAAATAGTAAAGAAGATGTCAGACTTAATGTGTTGTGGTAAATCCATCCGATCATCATCAAAAAAATGTAAAAAAATTTTCGAGTTTTGTCAAAGCAAAAAGGGTGTCAAGCAAGGAAGGAGTCTACGCAGCAAGTGAAAGGTAAAGTCTCATTAAAAAATTGGTGGTTAGAGCTTTCCATAGAGTGGTTGCAAAGGGCTTAGGTGGAAGACACCTAAATATTTCTCTTGATAAGTGCATGAGAAGTTTTCAAATGATGATGAGAAGTTTTCAAACCATCATTTAAAGCAAGCCAGTCATATACAAAGTAGCATAAAGAATGCATTTTATGCCACAAATACTTAGCCCAAACAAGAGAACTATCATCCGCGTGCGACTGATGGATAAAAATTTTGAATTCTGGGAATGGACACCCCATCCCAATCTAAGATCTCAACATCACTAGAGCAAATAGGAATGATAGAGATAGAATCTCTAATATTCTAAGGTAGTAAGATAGGCAAAATTTAACTATCATTCTGTTAAGCCACAGTCCACGTGTCAGCTGTACATTGGATAACAAGAGTACCGTTAACTAGTCTGTACTTTCTCTATCTAATTTTGTCTATAAATTGTATCTGTAATTCAGAAACTTGAAATTAATGGAAAAAGTTTAATTTCTTATTTCTCCTATGTTCCTGGCTTCAAGAAAGCTTACCTGTTTCTCTACCTCTCTTCTTTCTCTTTTCATCAAAAGTTCACATGGTATCAGAGCGCCAGGCCATCTAATTTTTTTTTTTCGTTACCTATCACAATGACATCCATGGCCACGGTTTCTTCATCAACTCCGGCGGACATCTTCACCGCCGAGAATAGCTTCTCCTCCACGCAAATTCCTTCATCTCTGAAATTCTTGATGAATAATATCAAGAAAGTCATAGCTCATCAACTCACGGCCGATAATCACGCTCTATGGAGGACTCAAGTTCTCAAGCTCTTCAGAGCAAACAATTTCGAAGGCTTCTTGACCGGCTCCGTCACCTGCCCACCACCACTGACTCAGGACATCAACGGTGCAACCATCACCAACAGCAATCACAACACCTGGATCTTGCTCGATCAAAATCTCGCCGCAGCATTATACTCCGTCATATCTCCCTCTATTCTTCCTTACGTCTTGTCCGCCGATCACTGCTGCGACATCTGGAGGATACTCGACAGTCGTCTACAATCATCAACAAGATCAAGAATCTCTCAACTCAAAAACGAGCTACACTATCTCTCAATGAAGGACAAATCTATGACACAATACCTACTAGACGTCAAATCTAAAGTCGATGCGCTCGCCGCAGCAGGCGCTCCCGTCGAAGTTGAGGATGCCATACACTACACTCTCAACGGCTTGCCTATGACGTATCAGGCATTTAAAACGGCCATCAGGACGAACCTTCGGTCAGTTAGCCTCGACGAACTTTATACGCTCCTCTGTAGCGAAGAACTCAACCTTCTCCATGAAACAACCAAAGAACTCCACAACCTCAGTATCACCGGCAGTCAAACCGCTCTCACAGCCACCAGGGTACGCGGCCGCGGACGGTCATCCAACAACAGAGGTCGATCAACTAATCGACCACCTCCCACCACGAATTCAAATCGAGCAAGCAAAACTCCTCGTCCAGACATTTATTGCCAAATATGTGGCAAATTCGGCCACTCGGCCGTTAAATGCTGGCATCGTCACGACGACGAATACTCTACGGAACAACTGGTTGCCCTGTTCACTTCTCCAGCTGGAGCCAGTTCTTCTGACTGGTTTCTTGATAGCGGAGCTACAAATCATCTCACAGCCGATCCTAACCAAGTTCATCAATCTCAACCTTATCACGGAAACAGTCAGGTAACGTTAGGGAACGGTCAGACAATCCCAATTCAAAATACGGGGAAAGGTCTGTTACCGACTCCCACAGGTAGTCTACAACTTCTAAATCTCAATCTAGTTCCTAACTTATCTTTCAATTTACTATCTGTTTATCGGCTAACGACTGACAATAACTGTTTCATCACTTTCTTTCCTCATGGATACGAAATCAAGGATCGGAAGACCCACCGGCTTCTTCTTTCGGGTCCCTCTATTAACGGACTCTATCCTCTCAGACTTCACCAATCCAACTCAGCCAAAACTGGGGACCTTGCTCTCATTCAATTCAGCAAATTCCCGATCTCTGGCACAGACGGCTCGGTCACCCGTCGCCAAGCAGTCTCGCCTCCATTTCTACCCGCGATGGCACTGTTACCATAATTCTGTTACTACCGTTTGCAATTCTTGTAAAATGGCCAAAAGCCATCGCTTACATTCTTCCTTATCTCAATCTGTAACGAACAATTTATTTGCTCTTGTTCACTCAGATATCTGGGGTCCCTTTTCCATTCCGTCTTCGCATGGTTTTCGTTATTACATCTCTTTCATTGACGATTTTTCAAAATTTACGTGGATTTATCCGATAATTAACAAATCTGAAGCGTTTTCAAAATTCATTGAATTTCAAAAATCGGTCGAACGACAATTTAGCTGCAACATAAAAATTATCCGTACTGATAATGGCGGCGAATACATGAATTATAAATTCAAAACGTATTGTGCTTCAACTGGTATTGATCATCAATCCACTTGCCCGCACTCTCCTTCTCAGAACGGCGTAGCAGAACGAAAACACATACATCTTATCGAAACTACTCGGGCTCTTCTCATTCAAGCCTCTCTTCCACTGTCACTATGGGTCGACGTTCTCCTCACCGCAAATTATTTAATTAACCGCATCCCTTCTTCCAACACGAATCACAAGTCCCCCTTTGAAATCCTGCATGGCCAACCACCCCGCTACGATCACCTCAAAGTTCTCGGATGTCTCTGCTATCCATGGCTAAAGCCATACACCTCTCACAAACTCTCACCCACTTCCCACCCGTGCGTCTTCATCGAGTATGCCCACTCACAAAAAGGGTACAAATGTTTAGACATTCACACTCACAAGATCTACACTTCCCGCAATGTTATCTTCAATGAAAATGAATTCCCTTACTCCAAATCACCAACTCATTATTGGTCTTCAAACCCGACACCTCCGCTGATTTTGGTACCTAATCTCAGTATTTTACCACAACAAAGCTCATCACCTCATCTCACATCTCAGGCCGTTATCACACCTGCATTAGCCAACTCTTCTACTCATCCTTCCTACTCAACTACCACGACTCATACTCCTGAACCCACCACATCCACAACACCATACTCTGAAAGCATTCAGCCAACCGTAACTCCAAACCTGCACCAATCTAAACCCACTCATCATATGCTAACTCGTCTAAAAACTGGGATATCTAAGCCCAAGAAAATATTTGATTTAGCTCATATCGTTCAAACTCCCGAACCCAATACCTATAATCAAGCAGCCAAGTTCGAGCATTGGAGATCAGCTATGTCACAGGAATTCCAAGCCCTCCAAGCACAGGGCACCTGGGAACTCGTCCCACCACAGCCGTCTATGAACATTCTCGGCTCAAAATGGACCTTCCGCACCAAGTACAACTCTGACGGAACCATCGCTCGACACAAAGCCCGCTTAGTTGCCAAAGGATTCAACCAAGAACAAGGAATCGACTACCACGAAACCTTCAGCCCTGTCGCCAAGATGCCGACCATACGCGTTCTCATCATTCTTGCTCTTCATCATAACTGGACCATTCACCAGCTTGACGTCTCCAACGCATTCCTCCACGGCAATCTCTCCGATACCGTGTACATGTCTCAGCCACCGGGGTTTCAAGACTCAATGCATCCTGGATACGTTTGCAAACTCAAGAAAGCACTCTATGGTCTCAAACAATCGCCCAGGGAGTGGTACGCTACACTCTCAAATCATCTGCTCAACTACGGCTTCAAAATCAGCCCCTCCGATCACTCTCTTCTCACATACAAATCCGGCGCAACTCGCATCTACATGCTTATATACGTCGACGACATCTTGCTCGCAGGTAACTCTCCGTCTGAAATTAACAAATTATTAGCTAATCTACATTCTACCTTTCAGATGCGCAATCTCGGCCCCTTATCGCAATTCTTGGGCATTCAAGCAATCCAAACTAAGACAGGACTTCTCCTTCATCAGCAACAATATGCACATAATATCATTCATCGGGCTGGCATGGATCAATCCAAACCAGTCACTACCCCTCTACCCAACCGACAACCCAGCCAACACGACTCCACCACTCCCTACGACAACCCGCAACTCTACAGACAGCTCATTGGCGCACTACAGTACCTAACTATTACCCGACCGGACATTCAATTCGCTGTACAACAACTCTGCCAACACATGCAAAATCCGTTCATCACCCACTTTGACTCCCTCAAGCGCCTACTCCGCTACATTCACGGCTCATCCGGCACAGGTATTCCTCTTAACCGAACAATTTAACCTTACGCGGGTACGTTGATGCAGATTGGGCAAGCAGCCAACAAGATCGCAAATCGATCTCTGGATACTGTAATTTTCTCGGTGACTCAATCATCTCCTGGCAAGTCAAGAAACAGACCACCACAGCAAGGTCCTCTACCGAAGCGGAATACCGAGCATTAGCCTCAGAAGCTTCGGAAGTCATATGGCTACGACAACTCCTGGATGACTTTCATACACCTCAAACCGATCCTACTACTGTGTTTTGCGATAACACCTCGGCCATTGCCCTTACCAATAACCCGATCT